CTAATGAGTTCACAATCATGTCCGCTCAGCAGTGTAGGGACTCACTCCTATGTACGGTTACCCATGTCTGGAGCGATCCCCCCTGCATCGCTTCACTGCATTCGCATACACATGACGTCGCATTCAGCGACGCCAACGTTCCCAGACGAACCCCAAGGGAGTTATTGATCCATTAGCGTCGTCCCGACGATCTGGAAAGCTCTGAAGAGAGGAGGTCATCTCCCACCGTTTTCAACCAGGGTTTGACACCTGAGCTCGCCAACGACTGGGTTGATGGCAAATTGCCAGCAACCTTGGTAACCAGTAATAATTAATCGTGACATGAGTTTAGGTATGTACTTCGCTCCTCTGTGGGCTATCATTCTGATTATTGACACCCCTCTGACGTCGCCCAAGCCTTAAGCAATTGACATTGAGATCGATGCTACAAAGGCAGCACAGTAAAGAACATCAAATCTCTAGACTAATGGTTCGACGGTGACATGAACTTGATCTAATACCTGAGAAGCAGCGCTGGACCAATTGGGGATTCCAAGCGGATGATATACCGAAGACAGGCAGAAAAGCTGGTGTGACATTTCAATAGAGGGATCGTAACACATAATACGGAGTAGTAGTGGCGTTCAAGAAAACTAGGTATTCCATCGAGTTGAACTAAGCCCACACCCTTCTCCATGCTGACCATGATTGGGTTTTGGAAGCATGGAGACGGGAGTGTTCCTGAGCATATGTATGTATGTCCTTTTTGGTGCGATATCGAATTTGTGTCTTGTTTGACGAGAGGCAAATGTTGGGCATGAATGTCCACCTAGCGCAGATGCTATGTACAACCAGCTTGTCCGACAGGCTCACTGACGAAAGTACCATGAATGCCAGTAGGCGACGTTACAGTAAGGGCTTTGCTATCCAGGGGGGATCAATCCCAGGCCCTGTGCCATGCAAGGTACAGGTAGTGATACATCAGTACTTGGCTGTGGGATGATTCTCTCCAGATGTACATACGTGCGATCTCCTCGGCCGATTTGACAGCCAGGTCGAGGCTATTACGGAGCAAGCGGTCTTGAGTCGTTCGGCGAGTCAGATCCAGCGCGCCTTTGAGCCGGCGGTAACATGTAGTCTACATACTGTATCTGTTCATCGACAAAACCTATCCTCCCTTGATGAACCCGTGTACAGTCAGGGATGTCCCAAAAGAAACACACAAAAACTTAGCAATAGTTGTACCAAGCCTCATGCACCTCATGTGCAGGAAACTATGGATACTGCCCTTACACACTACAGACTGATTGCCTTTTCCAGTAGTATCGGGCAGCCGGCGAAGGGTCCATTAGTGAACTATGTGCATCCGTCCCCAGTTGCTAATGGGGCCTTGGTAGATGGAGATAAGACAGTCCGATGTTCCAGAAGCTTTTTTGTGGCTAGGGGACAGATGGTCCATGAATTAGTAGGTAAGTGATATTAACCATGTGAATATGCCCTGAGTCTCTGCTTGTCCAGCCACATGGATGCCCTACTTGGGGACGATTGAAATTGAAAGAACATTAGGGCAAGATAACGCATGATCACGTATATGTATGTAGGTATGGTCCTACGGAGAAAGCCAATTTTGGGTGCATCGTGCTCCATGCGTATAAATCTACCTGTGACGATAGATGGGTCCACTGGCCGAGGAAGAGATTCACCGTATCCATCCATCCGTCCATCCAACCATACATACTGGTAGGTGAAGGGCACAAGCAAGAAGCGGTGACGACCATTGCTTCATCGTGACCAAGTATTCATGCGTCGAGAGGAGCGTCAATCTTGTTAGTTGCGCATTAGCTGGCGACTTAGGTCACCCCAAGCCCATCATTATCTCACTTTGTCGGTCAGCACGAGAGCATAGAAGCTGAGGATTGTGCTTCGACTTCCATTCGTGGCTTGGCTTTGGAAGCGAAGCAAGAACAGGAATAAAGTGGCAGGCTGGTAATTGAAAAAAATCTACGGAGGTTAGGCCAAAAAGTCTTTACCTACACTAAAATTAATAAAAGCAAGGTAAAAGTATCGATACTTTAAAATAGTTATTTTTATAGTAGATAATCCCTGCCCTTTAAGTATTTATTCCTACCTTCTACTTTTATAACTTTTTTAATATATATAAGAATTCTCTCTATTTACTTTTTAATCTTTAATTACAGAAGGTTATTCTATATAGCCTCTTACTTATAAATAGCTTTCTTTCTATTTTTTAAGGCACTTTTTTTTATAGTTACTCTCTTTAAATAAGGCTAAGCTAGCTTAATTATATTTAAATTAAGTAAATTTAAATACTAAAAAAGGCACTAGACTTTATATAAGTTATATAAAGTCTACTATATATAATAAATATAAGTAAGAGCTTAATCTTTTTAAATAACTATATTAGGCCTCTTTTCTATATATTTCTTTATAAAAAGAAGTAATAATAAAATAAGAATAACTTAATAATATTACTATTAATTAATTTCTTCTTTTAAGCCTTTTATAAACTTTTTAATCTCTTTCTTTTATTTTTATATAGGCTATTAATTAGGTAAGTTATAAAGCTTTAACTTTTTTATATTATTTTTAAGCTTTTATTATACCTTTATAATTAGCTTAAGCTTTTTATTTATTGCCTCTAAAGCTATAGTAGTTTCTTTCTTTTTTACTAAAGTCTTAGCGCTTTAATAATAAAAAAGACCCTTTTTATTATAGGTAAAACTGCCTTAAAATATAAATTTAATACTGCCTTTTTAATACTTATAAATATAGCTATATATAAAGCGCTTATTAGATTTCCTCTAGATATAATAACTACCTTAATAGTAAAGAAAGATAATAAAAGTCTTATTAAATTAAATTACTACCTTTTAATCTTTTAAGGTCTAATTACAGTAAGTAATATATTAGTTAAGTCACTCTTTCTTTATTACTATAGTTAATTTAGGCTTTCTAATTAGCTTTATTTTTTTATATTTTATAGCTTTAAGGATTTTCTTTACTATTAACTTTAAGATTTTAATTCCTTAAGAGTTAAGTTTACTAATAATATTAATAGTATTCTTTTTCTTATTAAATTAATTTATATTAACCTTAATAATAATTAGGTCTTAATTTTCCTTTATATATTTTAAAGGCTACCTTAAGTACTTTCTATTTTTAATTAAAGAGTTAATAATCTATAGAGGCTACTTATTAGGCTTAAAGCCTTTTCTAATTGCCTTAATATATATTAAGTTAACTATATATCTAGGAATTCCTATTATTAACTTAATCTCTTAAGAGGTTTTTTCTCTTTTAATAGGCACTTTTAGTATTACTATTAAAGCCTAAGTAGTAATATTATTAATTAGTATTTTTTTAGTATTAAAAGGGAAGGAAATAGTAAGAAAATCGCTTAAGGAAGATTATTAATAAATTTAGTAGTAATCCCCTATTAAGGTTTGCAGGGGTAGTTGCCGATCGGGTGAAGACTTTTCGGCCCAACCTCTGTAGCCGGATTAATATAAACGTTTGCTCGCTCGCTGTGTGACGGGTCAAAGCGTGGGCTTGGGCGAAGGAGCTTCTGGATTGTCACTAGAGTGGCCAATTCGCATCTGTCTGATTGCATCGAGGCTCAAGGGATCCATCCAGTGTCATCGCCTGGCCCTGGGTACATTCTGATTCCATAATAAACGTTAGCTCTCAGCGAATCTCATTAATAAGAGACGCAGGAGCCGCAGGATGGCCCGGGCTGGCTGGGTTGAGCGGATTCTGTATCTAATAAACCATGTCCAATATTGGAAGGACTCGTAGAAGAGGTAGTAGAATAGAAGACCCTGGTCAATCCAAATTGTAGCGCCTGGGGCCGTGCCTGCGCCTGTCCTTTGGAGGTCCATCAAATCTCGCCAAATACCTATACAGCGTCATATGAGACACGCTGTGAACATTCGGGTTATACTACATTATTTCAGCTCAAGTTTCTGCTTATCGGCACTTGAGGAAGATCATCAGGGTTGTATGAATATACTCTCCTCACGGCAGTGCTTCACGTCCTGCTGAAGATCGTCATCATGACACAGCTTGTGACAGTGAAGGTCCAAGTGTTCCTTCGAAGCACGAACTCAAAACGTACAGTAACCTGCATGGACTGTTGGTCAACGGTCGACCCCGTCTGAAGTGAAGTTTCGATTTATACAGAACAGTACGGAGTGCTAGATAGAAAACAGAGCCTGCACTGCACGACTGGACAGTCTGCTTTGATATTATGACTCTCCTTTTATTGAGTCAGATCTACTATAACAGCTTGGACCCGAAGACTAAGATGTTGGTACAATATTCTGCATTCGAGACTGGTGACAGACAGATGATCGACAAGGACTTTCCATGGGTAGTGACTAGCATAAGCTGTAACGTGTGGCTGTTGATGCAGTAGGTACCATAATGATTGGCTGACCTGTATCCGTACCCCAGAAGTGATCCGTCCGTGTTTGCTTCTTGTCAATAAATCAATCACGTTCACTAATAAGTCGCCCGTCAGGCCGTCCTGTTTACACAAGGAGGCTGGACTCAAGTTTATACAGGAAGTCTCATAATTATTCCTTTTACTTTATATTGTCTTATTTCTATTACGAAAATCGACGATCTTGTTTGCTGCAACCTGCCGGCAGGTGACTACCTACTGAACGATAGGTGGCTTGTGCTTGCTTAGTCGATATTTCCTTATGACCTGGTTTGTTTGTCAACAACTTAATGTCCGACAGAGGAAGGAAATGACGTTTCTGGCAGGTTTGGACAGGATGCTAATAACCTGAGTCTGTGAGAGGCGGTTGGGAAAGCACTGGACAAGAAGTGGCCTCTGCTTAAAACGAGGATAACCTCATCTACCTCGCATTGATGATGATGATGATGATGATAATAGCAACGTAATATTTATGGATGGAAACAATCACCTGCCATGTTAGCCAAAGGTTGTTTGCGACTTTCACTTCTGGAGTGCCCTGCCAACCTCCCTCACTTCCATGAGGCGGAAACTGTCCGTCTACGGGACGTTACGACATGTTCAGAAGAATAAAGCAACCCCAATCATTGGTCGTCATATCGATGCTTGCTCCCGCTACAAGAGTCACCTGCGACCTTTCACGTGGCCGAGAGACTGCTCCGCAGGAGGTACGTACACTGCAGGGAAGAGGGCCAGGATATCACTGTTCAGTGGCTGAACTGGGCTGCTCTGCTGGTGACTTTTGTTGCATTGCGATCAATGATTGTGCATAGGTCCCGTCATGGTGATCATTGTCCGTGCTGTACATGCCTACGTATTCCTTCGCTTCGTCGAGCACAGCGACCCCGAGCTTTAGGCATTGAGGGAATTCTCCATCTTGAAGGTAGTAGGTAGGTACTGAAGCAATTTACCAGAGCGCAATTGTGTACAACTACAGCGATCTGAGACTTGTCGGGCTTGAATGTACCGAGAATACGGATAGACTACCTGGTAAGGTACGCAGGAAATTTCAAAGATCGTCAAGGGTCTTGGTGGTACTGTACCTATCGCAAGGTACTTGAGGGACTTTGACCCCTCAGAGTACTATACCTTACAGTACTCTCTACCTTACCTTATACACCCATAGTCCATCATGCGTTCACTTAGACCAGCCGCTCCCTTTTTCAGTACTTACTTAGACGGCATGTCCGGGCACTGCTGGCCAGCATTGGCTAGCATTGGCGTTGGGTATCAAGATTTCCGTTATCTTTCACCTCTTCTAACGGCCCGTGATGTGTAGGCAAGGACCGGCAAAACCTTCTTCTCCATGATCTGCAGCTGGTCGGGAATGACCAGGAGCTCCAACAGTAGCACCTTGAGCTTACTTTATCCGTCTAATTCTCGCTCGACGTTTCACTGAACTCTAGTACCGAGAATGGAATTCCAGTAACCGAGATTCAGCCCAGGAATAATGGATGGGACTCTTAACCTAAACTCTGACGTGTTGGGACTCTGAGAGTTCCTTTGTGCATTACTGGCGAGTCGTTACATCTTGAGTCGAGTGCACTGTCACTGTGATTGAATCGAGCTGGAGTTACGTATGTAGGTGCAACGCGATTTGCCCTCAATGCCTCTGGAGCCTACCGTCAAGTCAGCTGTATGATTTTCCAAGCTAATAAAGTGTCCACTGGAGTTTCAGAAAAGAAAAAAAAAATCTCTTTGTGAGAATCAGGCTAGTCGGACACTGCGTAGAGCAAATCCGTCGTGCGCTACTAGACGCCTCCGAGGTGTTGGGCCCCACGCAGCGGCCACGAGGCCTCCACTGTAACTCAACTCAGCGCACCACCACAATCTCGTTCACCTCCACCCAGCCATCATCTCCCGTCTGAAGCTTGTACCTTTTGGGCGGTCCGTCGCATGGCCAGATACTTTACCTAAGGTCCTGAATTTTTCACTTCTCACTTTGTCCGCTACCCGTGAGCATCCATTATAGTACGGCGCGGGTACCGTATCAGCAAAGTTGCGGTGTTGAGTCGTTCGCCTACCGCGCTTCTTTGCTTTTACTGACACATACTATCATTGTTCTTGCCATTACGTGCTTCTGCTTGATCTGCTCTCACATCATCCATATTTTGCGACTGCAACACCTCCGCCCGCTTTGTTGACCATATGCGGTAGTCTCCAACCGAAGGACTTGTACTTCAATATTCGCTCAGCCAAAGAAAAAGGGTCCCTTTATTAGAGGAGAGAGGGAGGGCCTGTCTAGCAGCGAGGACAACAACATACTAGAAACCAAACCAAACCAACCAGCCCAAGCCCGAACCAAGCCAGCGGGTAGCGACCGACGTCAGTCTTTTCCCTGTACTGTAGCACCCAGCAACGCAGAACTCGCGGTTCCAGGTACTGGTACAGTTACTTCCGTCTTGCTGGAAAATCTGCTCTGTTCTCTAGGTAGGTAGTCGCTTAAGTGCAGGGGTGAAGAGAAAAACGGGTAGCAGGGGTCCGCCAAAGAAAAAGAAGAGTCTTCGCCGACATCATCCCCCCCAGTCACAGCCAAGCATCAAGGTTCCTTAACCCCCTGGCCTTGTTTAGCCTCCTCCGACTGTCAACTCGGCAGGGTCGGTTCGTCAATTGGCTCCAAAACTGCCTGTGCCAGGCCCGCCCACCCCCGGCAGACCGTCTTTTGTGCCTTGAGGCTGTCGGTCCCAGAATTGCGCTCGACTTGGAGTCGACATCATACCTGCCCGAGAATCGATCCGTTCGCTCGCCAAATTTGCGCCTTTCTTCCCTCAATCTCCAGTTCTCAGTCTCGAGCGCGTCCCTTTTTTTCGCCATCCCAACCATCCTTCGAAAGTCCTTTCGCTACCGCCGCTGTGTCTGTGCCCCCCACCGTTGTCCATCTCCCAGGTACCGAGCGAGAGAGAGCTTGTCGAATCCCCATCTCGTCTCTGCCCAACTGCTGATCCTACCGCACCGCGTCACTGGGGCTCGGGCTGGCTGGCTGGAAGAGTCTACTCGGCATCCCATCTCTTTCTCTACGGATACCTGCCTGCCTGCCTACCTACCTGAACCTCTCCAAACTTCACCTTTCACCTCCAGGTACGGTACATACAGTGCAGTACTTCGTACACGTACATGTAATTGTACCCAGTCGTTTCAGACACACCCACCCCCATGCCTCTCAACCTCTACCTCTATTGCTGAAGGGCCCAATTATCATCCGCCCCTCCAGCTTCCAGAGCAGCTGGAAGCTTCACCTCACTCCCCGGGTCGTCTTTTGTTTCGCTTCTGCCATTATCCTATCCCATTCTACCTACTATTGTATTGTACCTATCCATGGCCACCGCCTCTACGTGGTCCCTGCTTTTCTCTTCGCCTTGTTCCTGATTATGTGTGCAAGTACTTCCATACATATATAGTACTCAAGCATGGATCCAGCACCTCCAGATAGTAAACGTCCACGCCTCTCTTCGTGGCCAGTCGGCACACCTCAACAAGGAGTATCACTACCACATCCTCACGCTCATCAACTTCCACCACCGCCTCCGCCTCCGCCCGGCGCTCTACATCATCCTCCTCATCCTCCTCCGAGCCCGTATCAACATTACCCTCCTCGACCCATCGAGCATTCCTCAGCTCCGCCGACACCTTCTCACGCTGCGCCTGCGCAACCGCTTCACGACACCGATCGTCGCCATCATGAGCCAGAGCCCTATCCTCCCGTTCAAGACTACCATCGACAGCAACAGCAGCACCAACACCCACCACCACAGCAGCACCCTCAGCAGCAGCACCCACATCCACCTCCGTCGCCGGCGCATCCAGCGCATCACCCATACCCGCCTTACGGTCCAAGAGATCCTCCCATAAAACGAGACCCAGCCGAGGATCAACGCCGACCCAACTCGACGGGCCATGCGCCCGAGGGGATGTCGTCAACACCACATCTTCCGCCGACCTCACTGCCACCACCACCGCCTCCAGGCGCATACCCAGACAACCCACCGCGACACATGAATTACGAAGGCGCGCCTTCTATGCCCCCAACACCGGGTGGCTACCGTGCGCCCAGCTTCCCGCCGCCCACTCCAGTGCCCCATCAGACGCCCTACGAGCAACATGGAGGTTATCCTTCAACCCCTCACGAACCATTCTATAGTGTTTATTCATCATCCGTCCCAGCTAAGAAGAAGAACACGAGAGCTTCTCAGGTACGAGCCGCTTGTGATATGGAAGCGCGCAAGTTCTAATTGGATATAGGCGTGCGATAGCTGCCGGCAGCTGAAGGCCAAGTGCGACGAGACGAAGCCATGTAAAACCTGCAAGGAAAAAGGCGTGGAATGCAAATACCGTGACCCGGTGCCCAAGGCGTAGGTTTTGAAAGGTCCACATCAGCTTGATAGCGAAAAACTAAGAATCATTGACAGGACGGACAAAGCTCAAGCCGACATTCTAGAGGGCCTTGGCTCTGTTCAGACGTCGCTTAACTCGATCATGACACACCTGGGGCGATTTGATCAGAGATTGATCAAAATGGAATCCCTCTTGCCCAAGCATCTTGCGACATCAGCTCTCAAGACAGAGTCTTCGGTGGAGGACGAGTACAAACGTGCCCCAGCATCGCCTTACGTTGCCAATGGCGCTTCTGTGGACCCGTACTATAATGACGCCCATCGCGATCACCCATCTTCAGAGCCTATGCCATTGCGTATGATGGCCGAGGATGAGATGGAGGTAGAGCCAGGCCCGCCCGTCCCCCCTGGTGAGCCCGCGATTCCTATCAATCATACGACTTTGGCAGGCCTGCTCTTGGAATGGCCTTCCATCCGGGAGCTTACGAAACATCACGTTGAGCGCGAAGGTGTGCGATACATTAGCGAATATCCCATCAGCCAAGAACAAAACCGAGGTGTTCTGATAGTTTATGGTCGGGGCGAAGACTCCCACCCTTCGCGACATGTTAGAGAACCTACCGACCATGGCAACTTGGATATGGCCGATGATTCATCCGATATGGCATCTCCTTCGCCCGCGGCTGATTGGGGCCAGCTCGGTGGACTAAGCCCTCCAGACCAAGTGGAATACAAGGGAGGTGTTCTGGTTGATGGCAATCCTGATTTCTCCGAGCCGAAAGTGTGGGCGTACGTCGAAAGTTTTAAGGAAAACATTCTCAACATGCACCCTATCATTCAACCAAAACTGCTGGACTACTGGGTTAGGCACTTTCTGGATAACCTTCCTGCATCACAGCCACGTTCAGCAAAGCCACAAACATCGAAGCCCACCTTCGCCGTTGGAGGAGGCTCTTCGACACCAGAAGCTGCAGGCTCAAAGAGGAAACGATCGCCAGGACCAGATGGCTCCGAGCCACCCACACCGGCGCCACAACGTATCGGTCGACCAGATCGGTCCATCCATACCGCTCTAGTTCTCACGGTTCTGGCTTTGGGTAAAGTTTGCCTTCACCGCGATAACGTGCCGGATGTCGTCCATCCTACAGAGCCTCTTCCCCACGGAAGCCCTGCCCTCCGCAATGGAGCCATTCCGCCATCGCCCAATCAAGGCTCTCCGCCAGGGTACTCATCTCATTCCCATTCATCAGGTTTGCCATCACCTAAAGAGCAAGACCGGAACATCCATAGTCGTCGATCCTCTATCCATGGCACAGGTGCTTTCCGCTCTGGCTACAGTTTGAAGAAGAACTACGAGGTAATTCCTGGCCTGGAGTACTTTGCATACGCCACGGATATCCTTGGCAACCACACTGGGGCGTACAACAATATGAAAAATGTGTACGCCAACATCTTCGCCGGGCTGTATCATGGCCAGCTGGGCAGGCCGATGGAGAGTTTTGCTTTCATCCACAGGGCCAGCCACAAGCTACAAGTCATCATGAGACCGTAAGTGCTATGAGTTTTGGTAAAACACAGATCAGGAGTGGCTAACTATATTGCAGGAGCCTAGATAAAATGCGGCGAATCAAGCGTAACAGCGAGTTCATCCAGGAAACCAAGTATAACCAGCTTGCTCTCACGTTCTGGACTTGTCTGCAGCTCGAGAGTGATCTCATTGCAGAGATGCAACTTCCCCCATCAGGACTGCTCTCATATGAGGATGACATGCCGCACCCTAACATGAGTCTCTTGGAAGGTTTCAACCAGCGCATCTTGGATAGTTACCCAGGTCAGCTATACTTGCGTACCCACCTCAACAGCATCCACCGAATGTTTTACGCCCCTGAAGATCCGGCCAAACCTGGCAAAGATAAGTTCCGCAATGTCGGCGTCGTGTCTGACGCTGTCTCGGGCATGCATTGGGTTGCCCCTAGCTTTGCATTCAGAGAGGATGATCCTCCTGCAGATGATATTCTGGCAGCAAGACTGCGGGCAAAGTACTGGGGAGCTCAGGTGATCACTTATCGCCCMTTCATCCGACAGATTCTACAGTTCTCGCACTCAATCAAGAACCATGCATCGAGCCCCAACTTTCCCAGCGTCAGCTCCGAATTCCGACAGGACATCACAGCRCCTGTTATTCATCCCAAGGCTAGAACGCATGGCGATATCGATCCTCAAGTMGTTGMGTTRGCTAAGAAGGGTATCAAAGCGCTCATTGAAAGCACCCGTGCTTTCCACGGTCTGGGAGATAGGAGGCCGATCATCACCAATATTTTCGGCACAGCTCACGCGTAAGTCTTTCGTCTTGGACTGATGCGCCTCAAACTAACCACCACGCTCTAGCCAATGGGGTAACCTGTTGATTCTATCAGCTGCATTCCGTGACCCAATCCTTCATACCTATGTAGATGAGGAACTACTTCGAACACTGTTCCACAAGACGATCCAGTTTTTGCGACAGTCGGCAACGGCAACGAGCGCACTTCGAACTGACATGCACATCCTTGAAGGTCTGCAGAGAGATCTTTTCAGCTACGATCCGAGGACCAACTCGAGCTTCTCGAGCGGCACAAGCGCACCTGGCTACCATACTCCAAGACCTGTTCCTATGGCCGCGCCGCCTCAGATGCCACATCAGATGGGCGATCAAGGACACCCACGATCTATGCCCCATCATTTGCAGATGAACTCATCACACGGGCAGTGATAGAGTCGACGACATTTGCCGCCGTGATTGGGAAACCTATATTGATGACTTTCATTATCATTTATAATCATCATGATTACATGGCGTTTGGGGACTGATTCATACGCGCCATAAGAGACCACGAAGGAGTGCCATTGTTTTGGCAGGTAGTTATTAGACGCTCAGTCAAACGAAATGGGCTCGAAGGATAGAGCGACTATACCCCCAGGTGCATGGATTGCGCCTTTTTCCATGGCGACCGAGAAGAAACATTGGCGCATCGCCACGCCAAGCACGGGTGTTTTGGATCGGTTCTAGCTTATCCAACGCCCTCTCTCGACTCGCCCCAGTGCACTGTATCACTAGCAGTGTACAACAAAAAGAACACCTCCTTGGGGTGCAAACCCCAATCTCGAACACAAATCCTGTTGTATATACGTCGACGGATGTTTATTGGTTTGGCCGGTCATTTATTGGTTTCTGCTTATAGAGAGGCTTCCCTGTCGTTTGTATTTTTGAACATTACAAGATTTGCATTGCATGGCTGTTTCATATGGCAAATGATTTTTGTTAATGCTGTTTTTGAACACAAAATCATGGATCTCAATTTCCTTGTTTTACATGGAGGGATTTGGAGGAGATACCACCCACGGTTGTTGAGCATACTGCAGTACATATTGGATCGAAAGGAAAGGGGGAAAACACGTGCATGCTCACAATCGTTTTTTTTTCTTTCTGGATGTTTAGAAGCATTGCCTCCCAAAGGGGAGTTGAATTATATACAAAAATCTATACAATATTATGACTTTGTTCATCTTTACTGGGTTGGTTGAACACAACAAGAAGTGTTGAGCGACTGTGAAGACCAATGACGCCATTGAGGCCCTCGTACTTTATCCTTGTTCCCCTGCTGCATCCCACTCATTACGTGCAGCATCTCGATACAACAAAACAAATCGCCTGCCCCTGATTGCATACGGGAGGGAGATGCGTGGGGGAAGCACTGTTTCTGCACCCAATGGAGGTGGTACAGACCTTCGGGTGCGTACCGGGGGTCTACGTTAGGTCTAGGGTTACCTACTAGGTATACCTTAGTTGAACACCCCCCGCCAAAAGAAAAGTCTTCTAGAAGGTCAGGGCGTTTCTGTTTCGGTGATTCCGTGCATGTTTCCAGAACGTCTAAAATGTGAGGGGGGAAAAAGGGGGAGGGGCAGACTCACCGCGAAGGCGGAAAAAGGATGATAGTTTTGACTCAGTTGAACCTCTAGTAGTGAACCAAGGCATTTCTCTCAGCACCATCTGAGTTTTTGTGTCTCAAACGAGTCATTCAGGCGACTCAGGTTTCCCCTCCACTTGTGGACAATGCAGGGATCGTGGCTTTTGCCATGGGAAAAAAAAAGCAATTATTCTTACACGTCACAAAGATTTACTGTAGGGGGGTCAAAACACGAGGAAGCATGAGGAGGATAAGCATTGGCTGGGAGCCTCAAGAGGGCCACAGTACTTAGGTATGAAAGTCTTACTACATGGACCGGTGAGCCCACTACATAGTGCCATATCTAGGCGGTCAATCATAATTCACACTGAGCGTGAAGCTCTTGCAAAGACGTTCGTCTCTGCCCCGAGGCTAAATGGAATTGAGCGACATTCACTGGATACGTACTGCTACAAGACCAGTCAACCAATCCTTGTTGTTCAAGCCCAACTCCTGAGCCTCAAGTATGCTGGCTATATATGACCCGAGGCCCTCTGACTCCGACAGTTCTTGGCTGTCGTCATCCCAGCTATCAGCGACCTTATTCTTGCTCTTGACTGCAGTTGTTGGTAGAGCTAGACAGAGCCGCAAATGGTCATCGTGTGCCCGGGGGTACAGCGCTCTTCAGATATCTTGGTCAGTGGTCAGTCTGGATCTGGTTTATCCGAAAGGCGATGTTTGATGTCAAGTTGCAGATAGCCTTTGAAGACAGATAACGTCTCCTGGCTTCAAGGGACTAGGGCTGCTCAGGCAAAAACTGGAATTCGGCGAAGGGAGGTATTAGAAGATGTCCGGGCTGCTCTGGCACCAAGGGCCGAGTTTTGCCGTACGGGAATACGGTTGAAATGTGACTTGGCATCAGCATAGAAATACCCTCCTGACTAACGACAATGTCCTTAGAAAGATCATAGGAGTAAACGCCACGAAGTATCAAGTGTCACGCAAACACTGATTTTCCGGCAAGAAACAGGCGACTTACATTGCCTGAAATGTTTCACTGCTGCTCTCTTTCACGACAAGATATTTTGCCACCTCAGTTACTCGGTCGAGAAATGCAGATGATGTTAGACTGACAAGTCATCGTCTGGTCCCCCTCCTAGGTATATCCGGCTTTGTGCTAACAAAGCATCAACTGCGTTGAATGCAACTCGGATTCATTGGTCGCAATAAGAAGCATGAGGAGACATGGAATTAGATTGGTTGATATTGGGAATTGTCCTTTTAAGTCTGCCAGGCGTGAGTATATGATGTTTTCGTGAACCCAGTCTTGGGAGACATGATTGAAGACGACATTCCCTGGAAGTCAACCCTCTTTGTCATTGCGAACTGCGCACATGGCTATTGAAATCAGCCGAACAAGTCTTGGTCTCAGCGAAACTAAAAGCCCAAAGGGTGCTTCTGGATCAAAGCTTTCCCAAGCATTGATATTTTGTTTCATTCAAAGCGGTCGTAATAGGAGACAAGTGCTAGAAAATCGTTGTGCACGTGGAGCTCATAAGACAGAGGGGAAACAGTTGTACAATGAGTCGTCGGTCTAAACCTTTCACGATGTGAGGCCGGTCCCGAGCCTCCAGATTCATATCATCTAACAGAGAAACACTCCTGTATGGCATTAGAAGGTTCGCACACTCGTAGGATTAATAAACGTACCGATCCTCGAGTGCAAGCACTAGATGCACCGACCTGAAGTTAGGGCTGATACTGTCACCCCGGTCCAACCACCGCACTGAGACGCTCTGAAAGATAAATTCTTATGAGGCTCACACCTAAGCTTGCGAAGATTTGAACAACAGGCCTTATGAACGATCATGTCCACGTTGTACGCCTTCTATGCCGGTAATATGGTTAAGCAATCCTTAAGCTTGTGGAGATATCTGACTGTGGCCGAGAGAGCAATAATAGGATAAGGCGCAAGCAGTAGGAGCTGTTACTATATAAAACCACCCTTAATCTGACTAATGCCGTGGACTTAATTGAAGGTGATCCGTTTCACTTGATGCGACCAGGGACGGCACCTAATAGCTTTGCCTGGGGCTAGTAATATTATTTGCAGCATGTAAGATGTAATTACCCTAATCTAGCACTGAGCGGAATTGTTAATAAGTTTTTGTCTTGTATAAATTGCCTATATCTGTTTGTTAGCTTGTTGATAATAAGTCTTGGGAAACCGTGCTTCCATCTGGGCAGAAATCTGAAGGACGAGAGTCTTTGGCGACCCTACGTAAAGCAAAACCTCATCGTCACTCTCTTGAAACAAATGAATATTCTGCCATCGGATGTTAGATTAATGAACAGCACACTTTCAATGGCATCGATTGAATGGAGAGCATTTCGTTGTCAGGCATCTGGGTAAAACAGTATTCGTGCATCAGGCCAGAAGTTGATGGTCTTATATCAGCTTCAAGCCATCACTCAAACCTTCTGTGTTGATGGAGAAAGGCAAGCAACTCGAAGATTCGCTAGCCTTGCTGGGGAGTTGGGGAGTTGGGTAGCTGTCAGTACCTTGGCGATACCCTGACCAGCGATGGCGATGTTGGGCGAATAAGTAAGCGTCCGAGAGATTTCACAGAGGTGTCTCTAGATCGTTGATATCAAGAATGGTCCCTAGACATCTTAGCAACAGAATTATTTCAAGGAAACATCATAACTGACCTTCGTCTGAGTCGCTGTAATTTGGTTTCCTTCCTTGAGCCATAGTCTTACCATAGGGACAAGCAAACCTCTGGCCTCACTGCAGCATAAGACCTAGCAAATCTATAAGACTGAAACTTCAGGGTCTATTGGTACACGTCGAGGACGCTTTTGGTATTCTCGAATTTACCGTACTTCGGTTGCTAGGGGCTAGAATATCCTTCAGATTGGACTAGGCTTTTTGGGTCGCCAAGCTTTTGGGCTCAACAAGGCCAGACACGTCATATCTTTTGCTTTGGATAGGAGTTGACGATGATGGTTCCGCGTTTGAAGCTTTTGCCAACCAAATTGGTAGGGCTAGCAGCAAATGAAGCAACATCCTCCTCCATACGCGAATGCATTTGTCTCTGCCGATGCTTCTGAAGCTAAGAAGGGACTTGTTCGCGGCTTTTGATGTTGGTGGCAGATTTGAAGGAATCTTCGAAAGCGAATTCTGCAACAGGGTCAATTGCCTCTTGTGCTTCATTGATCTGAACATCCTTCATGAAATCGCTGAAGACCGGGTGACAAGACGGGAACGCAGTCAAGCCGTTGAAGTCTTTTGATGGTTGCAGTTCAAGAAAAGGCTGCCCTATATCAAGGCACAGTTCTTTGGCCGTTTCTACATGTAGAATACGCCCATAGTGCAGAAGGATTTCAGGAGGGATCTCGGATCATATGTGATCGTTTTGAGAGCACGGAAGTAGATTCGTTCATCAACAAAATCCAAAAGACCCCGTCCTTTTGTGTTCTTTCGACCCGGATGAGATCTCTAACTCGTGCTGGGTTGCTCAGGTTTGCTCAGTCAGGCAAAAGAACTGCAAGATGAGAGGAACAACGTCGATCTGTAGATTACTCGCCAGGATCTCTTGATAGAGGCCGAAAGAAAAAAAAGTTTCTGAGGGGCGTAGTCCTCCGGGCGCAAGGCCCAGGAGTGACACGGTGGTCGGATGAGGAAGCGAGGACGAAATGGAGAAAGAAAAGATGGGAGAGATAGAGATGATAAACAAATAAACAGAGAGTTGCCTAAAAACAAAAGTTGGCCCCTAGTAGATGGACCCCTTTCAGTGACAACAACGCCACGTCAAGTCGAGTATGTCTTGGAGTTGAATCGCTAGCACTGATCGGGCTGTCTCGAACTGAATATTGCCTTCACAGGAAGATATGCGCACTACGATCAACTAAACGCACTGTGAGTGCAATTGGTCTAGATTCAACGACAATTTTGCTGGATCCCACTTGCTTTAGGCAAAGATATGGATGTGTCTTGATCGGCTTTGGAAACTCGATTCACTGCAATCCGCAACGATACGATATCATAAGATTGACGTCCATCAAGTCCCATTGAGGTCTTCCCATATTGAGAACACAACCTAGCAAGTATCAGAGAAGTTATATCGGGGCCACTGGAAAGTTTAGAGGGTTCACAGCTGTCTGAGTTACTATCGAAAAGGTCGCAGTTCTTGCCTGAGTCCTGGCAAGCGTTGGAGGTGGTGCCAGGGTCGCCATAATTAGTATTGACTAAGAAATTGTTAGTCACGAGCTGGAATGATGTCTCCGATGTGACTTACTACCGCAGAGAACACCGCCATTGACAGCAGCAACGTTGTCAGTAACAACATTCCGGGGACCGTAGTTATCCTTGCAGTTACCACAAGATCGCACAAGCTTGCCATAATCTTCGACTTGAAAGTCGGAGATCTCGTAAGTGCCGCGGCCGTTAAACTGAACAACCTTATCGGCGGCGTCAAAAGCACCTCCTCCACAGATGGTGGAGGTGCCGGACTTTTGCTTTAGAGTGATGGCATCTTAACAAACGTCTCTAAATCAGAAGTTTTCAAGAGTGCAAGCTCCCTTACAGTCAAGGCCCTCAGTTTGACCAGGTCCAATAATAACATTGCGGAGAGTAGCACCATTCTCGAGAATAGACATGGCATCAGCCTCGCTGGTCTCCACCTGATCCTAGCATACGGCCGCTGAAGAATGTTAGTAAGAAGAGGTGAAGCTGAGAAGACCAAACTCACGGGAATGATCATAGTATGCCATTTCCCCATCGAATTCACCAGAAACAGGGATGGCGGTAGCAGCAGCACTGGCACCGCTGGATGCTGGCATGGCTCGTGTGATGCCTGAAGCTCCTGAACCAGATCCAGAGCTTGCATCAAGAGTAGCGACAGGAGCTTCAGTTGGATTACCTACGGGGTCAATGATGGAGGTCTCAACAGGCTTCTTGCTGGACTCGCCAGCCTCCTTCGCTGGCGCTGAGACAATGGAAGGAAGAGAAGCAAGCATACTGATCGTTCCCGCCACCGTTTTGATTGCCGCTGCCGCTACCAGGAGCCTCAAGCTGGGGAACTCGAAGCTGGGGAGATCAACATCGGACTTCCCGACAGCAGCCTTAGAAGAGGGGCCAGCTTTGGCATCGGGAATACATTGGCTGTGCCACTTGCTGGCTTCGACGCATGTGGAACCGGAGGGACATTTGGTGTCTCTGGTGTAAGCACCGCCACCACACTGGCTGTAGAACTGTAGAGCGACAATGGTGAGAAGCGCAACTTTTCGAATGTCGGTAATGATTAAACGAGTGATCACTTGAACGAGAATACAGTGGCAGATGTTAAAGAAAGTGGTTTTACGGGCCTGCCCGGGACTGCCAAGGATGAAAGAGAGTAGCAAGGAATATTTTGCTGGGCTACATGTTGTTTGTCCATGCCTGACTCCTTGTAAAGGATTTCTGTCATGCAATGACACCGTCCCGAACCTCCAACCGCAGGCCAGTCAATCCTGGGTAAGGGGCATTTAATGACAGACAAACCGCTGCCAGTTTGTCACTGAAGCTTTGACAAGGGGAAGCTTAAGGTATTCAGGTTATACACTTCTCGCCATCTAAGTTAAGGCCTAGCCTAAGCTTATTCGGAGGGTCTGATAGCCGAGTTGGTTGGAATGGCGGACTTGTCCAGGTTTGACAGCTGTGATTGACCTCCTGGTTGATTTAAAACGGACAGAACAGAGAAGAAGGCCATCTGTTCAACTATGGAAAACCCATAGAAGCCATAGAAGCCATAGAAGCCAGATAAGAGCCAAGTGCAAATGGTTTCATTTGAAACAGGGAGAGTAAGGCGGCATCCCGTGATGTCGGGCAGGGGAAGTTTGCGGTGGTACTCATGACTAGAAGTCAAAAAGCCAATATTTGTTCAAGATCTGCATTGTTATGGGAAGTATGGAGTAGCAAGGCCAGGTTGATTCTTGTTTTTGGGGGTAGGTCCAGATATGCCTTGGTGCTAATGACTAGGGTATTTGTTAACCACCAATGAAGGCTGAGTATCAAACAATGAACTTTTTTTAGGTTGGGGTTCTTGGTCCGAAAAGGCAAGGGAGTGATTGCCACACGGTAGCCCCAGCAGGTTGTCCGATGATATTGACCTTGCTTTTGCTTGAATAGAATGAATGGTTTCAGATTGATGAAGATGTCCCTGATGAGGATTTCCTTGAAACGCATGTTGCATTGATAGCTCTAAGACTACTTGAGTCGAAGAGCAATGTCTAAGTAGTCTGTAGAGAAGCTTGACTGATTTGGGCCATTGGCCAAGCTTTTGTAAATTCTTTGGGCAAACATGAGGAACCTTGGATGAATACCAGTCAAGGTGTCGATGCGAGTACCTACCTGAGTTACCTAGGTACCTAGGTACCTATCTGATGCATTGAGTGACACTCACGTGCGTCATCATGTGACCATTGGAAGCTCTTCCACAAGCTTCTTCCCCTTTTCATGTAGATCAGCTAAAGGGGTGACAGCAATGACGCCACAATCCACATCGCGTTTGGGAAATCGACATTTGACACGACGATTCGGCTCAAAAAACAGTTATTAAGATGCACAAAATTCATGTTGAGCGCAATTACAAGTGAACAAGCATTGTCACGAGAGCAGTTGCCTGTCTCATCTAAGGTGTCATTGCGATGGTACCTAGCTGCGCTATTAAGTTTTGAGATTACACTCCTTTTTTGACACGAGAAAGCCGGGCCACTTTTTTAATTAGACAGTGTCGTTCGTTACATCCAGAGCTATAGGGGAACTCGAGAGGAATAAAGCAGTCCATGGCTTATCTATAGACATCAGCTTATCCCTCTGTCCCAGCCTTGATCAATGCATCATGCCTTGTTTCTTGTTTCTGCTCTTTACCTTATCAATCATCATCATATATCGCCTCCGATGACGGTATCCTCAGAGTCTCGCATATAAAGTGCTGGTGTAAGGCGAGCCAAGTTTTGGAACCCCAGATTTTTACAGGGAATATTGTGCCCCAAACCCAATCAGCTTTGGAGAAAGTCCAGACCCAATTCAAGACCCGGTTTTTTGCGCGTCAACGTGGAACTGCTTCGGTAGCAGTAACCGTTTTTCTCCAGGTTAATAAACTACCTTACTAACCTAACCAACTGCTACAGCAGTTCCAGGTCGCTTCCCCGTCTCGCTCCTCAGCACGCACATAATTAAGACCATACTTACCTAGGCCCCTACTCCTAAGGTCTCTCTCATCCTCTCCCACAACCCGACCCGACTCCGAAGCCACGTCATCTTCCCCCAACAGTCAAGTCAGTGCCAGTCTTATCTATCAGCCATGTCTTCGCCATCGAGCTCATCACAGGGCGGGAAGCGCAAGAGAAACTCCCTTCGCGCGGAGTCAGCCGCTGATCTTGGTGACAATGGCATCCAGACATCCTCTCGTGATGCCTCCGGTGAAGAAGGAGACACAACAGCCGCTGAGTCGGGGCGACTTCACAGCCGAGGATCAGCTGCTGGAGGCCCAATTCCTAAGAGACAGCGCTCTAGCTCGGATCGTGTCCTCGAGACAGCGGCTGACCATGCTCTGGATCCTGGCGAGCCAAGCGACACGACAGAAGCCAGCATCGACATTGCTGAGCGAGTCGGTCGCAAGGGTCGCAAGCCTTCTCTGAGGGAGCTTGACGAAGAGGAGCAGCGAAGAATTGAGGCCATGCCTCCTCCTCCCATTGGCAAGCTCCAAGATCCTGCTGGTGGCTACAAGACGAACCCACCTCCTGTTGGCCGACCTGTTCGTGTATATGCTGATGGAGTGTTTGATCTCTTCCATCTTGGGTAAGTCAAAGAACCGACTTCTAGAACCTGAGCCGTCTGCTAACCACTCTCTAGCCACATGCGACAACTCGAGCAAGCCAAGAAGGCCTTTCCTGACACAACGCTCGTCGTTGGAGTCACAGGCGACCACGAAACACACAAGCGCAAAGGTTTGACTGTCATGTCTGCCGCTGAGCGTGCCGAAACACTCCGCCACTGCAAATGGGTCGATGAAGTAATCGAGGATTGCCCATGGATTGTTACCCCCGAATTTCTCGACGAGAACAAGCTCGACTATGTCGCCCACGATGATCTTCCTTACGGCGCGGACGAGGGTGACGACATCTACCAGCCCATCAAGGCTGCTGGCAAGTTCCTTGTCACACAGCGAACAGAAGGCGTCAGCACAACTGGTCTCATCACAAGGTATGCCGGCGAGCACCCATGCCATCCAACATTCTAACAATTCGCAGAATCGTTCGCGACTACGAGAAGTACATCGCCCGGCAATTCAAGCGCGGTACTTCCCGCCAGGAGCTCAATGTAAGCTGGCTCAAGAAGAACGAGCTGGATCTCAAGCGACATGTTCAGGACCTGCGGGAAAATATCACAAACAACTGGACCACTACTGGTCAAGAACTCGGTCGTGAGCTCAAGCAGTTCTGGCCTACTAGCCGTCCTCAGAGCCCTGCCCGATTTAACAGTGCAGGCAGCTCGGAGGCACTACGTTCCCCAGGTGCTTCTGGTACACCCAAAGAGTTCATCACTGGCTATGCTCTCGGTCTTGTTGGTGGTGTCCGGGGATGGGTGAGTAGTGGGCATGCCCACAGTTTCCACCTCAAGCTAATGATCGTCTAGATGACCAAGAGCCGAGGCAATGTCACCGATAGTAGCCGACCCCCCAGCGACGATGAGTCTGAAGAGAGTGATACACACGCAAAATCACCAAAGGACTCATCAAACACTCCAACCGCAGCTGCAGCTGCTCCTTCGAAGCTATAAATGAAGCTGTATGGTCACGCAGATTGCAAATGTGGGAGATTGGTTAAAAACGTCCAGCAGGAAGAGGAGGCAGGGCCACCACGATAGGGACAACAGATGTGTGTGTAATGGACTTTGGATTATTATTTTAATCAGTATTCGGCTGTGCGCTTTAATACAGGACCGGTACACAAGGCGTTCTGGCTTGTTTTTTATGTATCGAATGTTTTTTGCGACTACGGTGTAACGTTGGCGCAGTATTGAATGCGGATTCTTGCGGGATTGTACGACACTTGGGCGAAATAATCCGACGAGTATGATTGAAGAGTTCACTTGTTTCGACAGTCTCATTTTTGTGACATTCTCGCATTCTTAGGACCACCTTGCTACGGCCTGCGTCTCTGCAGGTACAATCCTTTGGTTCGGGAGTTTATTCGAGCCCCTCGTTGCTGACATGATAACTATTGTCGTACAGCTCACTAAGCCAATATGCATGGCCCCCTCGGTGAGGCTGAAATTTGGAGCAAATCATGAGCCGAATCTCTTCAGGGTATCTAGCTGTCCGGATGGCGCAGGCACTCAAATACCACAATCTGGGGGCGCCTGCGCTTAGGCGCCTAGGCGGCTATACTGACAATTGAGCTCAGTCAGATGATTACTGCGACACTGGATGATCAGAAGTAACGTTTCAGCAGATGAGACCACTTCATCATGACAAAGATGGTAAATTGGAGTTTGAGGGGTAGAGGGGATATCTGGTAGAGTTTGTCGATCGTACAGTCAGCATGAGTCTGCCTCGACCTAAACGATCGACATTAGGCAACAGGAATCTCTCCACTCCTTGCAATGCAATGTAGAAAGCGGTCCCCCGGCATGTGCAGGAGAAACTTGATTGCAAATGGAGATGTCGAAAATGTCAAGCTCCTAAATGTCAATGGCTCGTACTAGGCCGCGATAGGTCAATGATACGATCAAGGGTGCGCGGATAAACGTCCGAATGGAGATGACCCCCACAAGGGTCATGAAGATTTCGGCCAGTACTTAAATGGGCGACTACCTACCTAGGTAGTTCATAAATCAAAGTGCGGTGTATAGGAAGTTGGAGGCATGTGGTGAGTGACAGGCAACAGATGCCAAGTCAAGGGGTGTGTCCCCATGTGTAGATCTGCTTCCACTTGTAGAGGAGCACATGCGAATCAGACCAGACATGCATCGGCGCTGAAAAGTTAGTTGTCAACATAGGCATGTCTACAACGTAGTGACGGGATGAGTTCATGTAGCATCTTAGCGAGACCTTGGCGACAGAAACAGGGTGGATTTCGTGCAAGATCTGCATTGGGAAAAGCCGCTTCTTCTTGTCAATGTATTGGTCCAAAAGAGCCTCTAAATACAAAAATAGTCGGGATCCAAGCGCCAGGGGCTTTCCCCTTCCCTCCAGATATGAATCTGTGGTTGCAACAAACAGTTCTACGCGTCCTGTGGGGGACTTCTTTTGAGGAATATTCTCCGCGCGGGCCGAATCCTACAGAGTCTTGGCCTCAAAATCCGAAAAAGGTCGTTTATACTGACTGGACTTAGTGTGCGGAATGACATATGGTAGACAACGAGATGTGGCGATCTAATTTTGGGAAAGAAGCACAACCCTTGAACAGCTGGCATCGCGGAGTCTCGTGGACGTTGTTATTTCCTATTTCCATTTCCAGCCAAAAGGCGGGGAGAAACAGCGTGGAACGTGGAACGGTCCGGCCCCGCATTTCATATCCTTTTGCTCGGGACGAGCACAAGAGTTTGTTTCCGACTCAGATTCATTTTAATGTTCGACCTGTCAATAGGTAGCTTATGGGTCGATGAGCCGCAAGGCGTTGAATTAATTGACTCGTCGATCTGTATCCGTAAATTAAAGAATGCCTTGTCTCTGATTAATTAATTTGTCGATCACAACAAGCATTATCATGACGTTGCTAACTTTCTGCTTGAGCTAGCGCATCACTGAACAAGCAGATTTTGTCTGTGCAGAGCCCAACAGGCGCAGCCAAGGAGGTAAAAATAGGTCACCTCAGGTCATCATGAAACATTGGCCAATCAGCCATCGAGTGGCTGAGCTGTGGTGTGTCTGCCCTGGATTTTTGTTTGGCTACCCTAGCGCCCAGCAAGGCTGGGCTAATATCACCCTTGTGCGACAGACAGGGATACGAATTGACGCTACCAGGGGAAAGAATCCAACATTCCAAGTAATGTTTCAATACATACGGAGTACGGCTGCCATGAGAACGGGATGCCGGTATCGAGATCAGTATGCGATTCGGTTTGAATGCGGGTGATATTGAAAGCTCGGTTAAAAAGCTTAGACCAAACCTAACATACCGACCAACATAGCCATGTGGACCACCTATGTATAATGGACAGCGTTGTAACGGCGCGGGCCCTATGAGGCTGGTCGGGCCATGCCCTTGGGATAAGCACTTGTAAGGTTGGACGGACCCAGGGTTTCCAAGGATGAGTTGCTTCACAATCGAAGTGATGGAAGTAACTAAAAAGAAACGTTTTAAAGAAACACCATATAAACGCAGTGCCAGCAAACTCAATAGATGATATATCGGCAATATCGGGACCAGACTCATGGGAATGCTTACCAAGTCGGCACCTTGGGCCAAGCCAAGCCCGGGCTCTCAAGTAAGCCGGTACCTGTCACTGATGCAAGCAAGAGCTACTGGAAGGCACATTACAGTACCTCCCGAGGTACCTGTCGGCCGCCTTTCCTCCTCTCCCCAGCTCATTTTCTTCCACTTAACCTTTCTAGACACAGCCTCTTCTATGGGATCTTTTTTCTCTCCTACCATCCATGTACGCATCGTTGCTGATCCCTGTCAGACAACCACACCCATTCCGAATGCGCGATGTCATGTCTGTTGTCATTCTGGAGACATCAAGCCATGATCGGTTCTAGCTTCTAGAGCAGCCACCAACAGGCGCCTTGACGCCATACCCGCCCGACCATGCCCACGCTTGTGCCCACGCTTGTGCCCACGCTTGTGCCCACGATGTCTCAGCGCCCAGATACAGTACAGATGCAGATGCATTGCTTTAGCTTCCTGTGAAACTGGAGCTCCAAAATCAATTTTAACCCTAGTGCCCGAGCTTCGCCTAGTTCCAGCTCGAATTTCTACGCCTCTGTGCTGCTGTTCCCGTGCTGGTATTTTTGGATTCTTTCATGTGCAACGGTATTCCCTTTTCTCAATGCAACCATTCTTACTGATCATCGCCGCCATTCTGTCTCTCTTCACAAAGCATTGGATAGGTCTGCGCCAACTACGTCTAAGCGCGAGCTACCACCCGCAAGCCATCGGATCGGTCGGGGATGAATAGTGTCTTTTTGGCACGGTACCACACCTGGGCGCTAGTTGCTCGATCAGGTACCGTTCCTTGAAGGCTTAGATGGCGCTTGCGGCCCCGTCCCGCCACTTGTCGCATTCTCTACGAACAGGGAGCGGCAAGCATGCGACAAGGGTCGATGTGAGAGGGTGGCACATGGACAAGCCAAACCAAACAATGGGATGGACTCCCACTGTCCCGATCTTTTGGTGTCGAGGACGCTTTAAGCACTACGTGCGGTAATCAAAGAGGCAGACAAGTGCCTTGCATCAGGTGCATCTCTTGCTTCCCCCCTCCACCTCACCTCCTTCAAAGCATCTAATCTTGTCCATATCCATGTTTCAATCCATGCATCAACTCCCCTGTCCTGCGCCCCATACTCAGCTCGCAGGGTTTGTCTTCAACCTTGGGTCAATCACATCGACATCCCCATACATCCATGTTCTAACACTCTCTCGAATAATCCTGCCCAGGCCTAACCCAGCAATGCCTCTCCTGGTTCCTATCTTTGTACCAAGAGTAAATATCTCACTTGCACTGAGCCCCATATTCACATCTGCATCCCTGCTAAACACTGGGCTTGCTCTATTTGCCAGCCTTAGCCGTCTCTACCTCTTCCCGTCTGTGATCTTTGCTTCAATTCTACACCAACTCCCCCACTATTACTCCCGCTTGCTGTTCTATACCCTCATCGCCCACCTTCTTTACATGAGCCTAAACGTCCCATCTGCCGGGACTTGTTCATACGCCTCCCTGGGGGCTGTGTCTTACTAAGTTTGGCTTGTCCATCTACAATTTCTCCGGACTCACTGCCTCTTTTGATTTGTGCTCTTGTTCTCAACTCTGGGCCATGGCTAGTCTCAAGAATATCATGAATACCGACGATGAACACGTCGATTCAAGTTCCGGAACCCGTTCCGTCGGTTTGACTTCAAGACCACCCTCTACCCACAGCCATGCTACTACATTAAAACATCCACCACCCTCCTCCTCCACCTCCCGTAACAACAGGTCTGATATTCCTGTCTCATCCATGACATCTTCTACCGATGGTCACCCATCGTCACCGAAGCCCAATACCAACATGACTACCCGACGCCGCAGCAACGCAAGTGTCGACTCCAACGAATTCTCCTACCAGCCTGGCCCATCATCTCACACTCCCATGAGGCCCTTCGCCGGAGCAGCCACTGGAGAGACACACGTCAAGTTGACTCCTATAACCAGAAAGATTAGTAAGGCGAAGAAAGGTGTCCCGGTTCACACATGCAATCAATGTCCCAAGGTATATTTCTTCTTTCTCCACCATCTTCACATCTAACTTTCACAGACCTTCTCTCGGGCAGAGCACTTAAGGTTCGTGGTCTTCCCCGAAGCTAAAAAGGTGTTTCTAACAATGGATACAGACGTCATCAACTCAGTCACTCAGCTCCTGATCTATTTTGCCCGGTCGAAAACTGTAATAAGACTTTCCATCGCAAGGACCTCCTCGACCGTCATGTCCAAAGACAGTATGTTGGAAGAGTGGCACCCGGAGAGCTTCGAGGCTAACAAGAGTAGTGAGCAAGATGGTCAAGATGTTAAAGACCTGAAACATAACCGTCAAGGCAGCCCGAAAACACCTAGCTTGCCCTCTGCAGACTCTGGACCAGAACCAGGACTCAAGATGCCTGAAGTCTATAGACACCCTCGAGCAGTAACCGCAAACAGCGGCTCGAATATGGTCGGTCCATGGTCATCAGTGGCATCGACATCTGCTCCTCACCAGGTCTACAATCCGCCGCCAACCGTGAACAATTCCTCAGACAACTACCCCATCGGGCCAAACAACTATGTACTCCATACACTACCAACGAACGAAAGTTTTGTAGCAAGCTATTCGGAACCAAGAAACATGTCCGACATGTCTATCATATCATCCATTCCTGAGGAAGCACCCCCGGATCTAGGCTGGCCTGAAAGCTCAATGTCTTCATCAGCTCCTACAAGCACATTCTCGACTCCCCCGGATAACACAAGGCGCTCACAGTTCTCCGTGCCAACAACGAACGGGTCTTGGATGACCGCGACTCCAGCTTACCCAAATACTGCAAATGACATCACTGCCAGTCTGGATAGCAACACATACCCTGGCTCGTATTCATATACCGACACTCCACCACAAGCGTACCCTTCTGTCTTTGGCGATATGGATCTTGCATTACCTGGATACTCCGAAGGCCCTTCTTTCAGCACCACCAATCAGATACCTATTCCCACAGTTCGTAGCATGTCCCCCTCATTAGCTGTCGCTCAATCTGAGACTTTAGTAGCTGTCTCCTCGCTGCCAACGTCGGATGGAGTTTTTGGATTGGGGGGATGTAGCTCTGGGCCTTCGGATGGCAGCTTATTGAGTACTCCTGATTTGATGCCACTATCTCTCCCTGCAGCAACGAGAGACTCAATTCCGACATACTTAGAAACCTACTGGAAGCATGTCCACCCCAAAAACCCCATCATACATAAGTACACTTATGAGGATGTACCAGAGGAGGAGACAGAGCATGTACAGGTCCTCCAATGCGCCATGGCTGCTCTAGCGACACAATACATCCCTAACGCAGACGACCGCATGAAGGGAGCTCAGCTTCATGCATACGCCTGGCAAAAGTCAAAAGTGGTGAGTTGAGAGAACAGGAGCTCGCCAAAGGAGCAGTCGACAATCGACCGGTGCTGATACACTTAGTTTACACAAGCTGAAAAGTGGTCAATACCAGTACAGCAAACTATTGCACTTTGCGAGTATTACGCTCGGTTCCGTGGTAGAAAGCCACATTCACATCAGCCCTCTGCTCGGTTCACTGCACTTTACCACAGGGTTAGTCCGCGTGATTTCTTTTGATTATTCCTCCCTTTATTTCTTTATTTCTTCCGTTCTCTTCTTCTTCTTCTTTCCGTCTTCCATTATTTATCTTTCTCTTCAATTGGAAAAAATTTAAACATCATGTCTTTCTTTTCGACCTCATACCCCCCTCGAATACCTGGCTCAACTCCCGATAGGTTTTTAATCATCGCCATGAATCTCCTTCTGGCTCCTCGCCCCAAGGTCAGTCGGTTTGGAAGATCTGGGTTGCTGCAGAAACTCAACGACGACTGCTGGCTGCCTGCTTCCTCCTGGATGTCCACAGTTCACGGTATCATCAACGACCGTACGTTTCCGCCATTGGCCTGGACTACACTGCTCCGGACACTCTTCCTATTCCACTCACAACAACAACGACAAAATCTTGGGAAGCACATGATCCTCAAACATGGACACGACTACGGGCAAGAAAGGACCTGAGAACTATCTCAAGCATCAACATGAGTAAACTTTCTGCCACTGATGTAACATCTCTGCCTGCCTTTGACGCAGCAATCTTGCTTGCAGCATATTCATTATTCATTTCGTGCCGTCAGAACCCAGCACATGTTGGCGTGATGGATGGTGCACTGAACTTTGAGTCGGAGAGAATGCTTATGTTAAGGGTATTTCCCGACTCGGCAGCTGCTAGTACCTACCTAGCCCTTCACTACACACCTCTTTACTGCCTATTATCAGTATCTGGGCAGAGCTGGGTCTTTAACAAGAAGGTGACGGACTTCAATATCTTTGCGGAACACCAGAGGTTACTAGGCGAATGGTGCAAATCTAGCACAGCTGCGATCGCCACTGTTTTTGCTGCCCGTGCTTTGAGCATCTTCCTTAACCTCAAAGCTTCATCCGATCAGGGAGAAGACAGAAGAGGAAAATCCAACCAGCAACAAGTAGTGCATTGGAAAGATATTTCGGACTACTGGGGTGTTTACGTTTGCTCGTTGATCTGTTGGGCCTTTGGTATTGAGGATAAACAGGACAAGGACAATACCAAAATTTTGCTAAAAGCGCCAAAGCAGTGGATATTGACAGTTGCAGATCTGGAGCCGTCCGAGTTGCAAGCTCAGAATCACCGCAGTGGGGCTCAAAAGGTTGTAAGTCTCGTGAAGGAGGTGTTGGAAAACGATTGTCTGGGCGGAGGAAACATTCTTTTTGCAGATGCCGTGAACGTTTTGAAACAACTAGAAAGGGGGGCATCTGCCAGGCCGTGCCCAGATGTTTGAGAGTCTGGCGTTCATGAAGGACTATGCCCTATTTGTTCTTCTCTTATTTATATATTTGTTTCGAGCTGACCGCATTGGTGTGATATGAGAGATGTGTGTAAGTAGGAGTTGAGTGGCCGGAAGAGATGTGGATTTGGGAGTGAAGGATGCATGCATTGGTTGAAGGAATCATAGCGTAGGGTTGTAGAAGGAAACGATGCCTTTTATGTTCTGAACCTTTTACAAGCATGTCCACAACCATAGGTGACATATGAATGGCGGGAAGGTGTTGAGTTTGTCTCAGTAGGGTGATCAACTGAGACCATGATCGATCCTGCGAAGCGTCAGGATAGCTTCAACTGAGACGTTGACCCAACTGGAGATGGAGTGGCTTAGAACTATTTCAGGAAAGTAGCTGCGACGTCATGTGAGATATCGATGCATTTTGATAGAATTGATCCTCCAGCGTAGGATGGGAGCTGGACATGACATTGAGCTGAGGGCGGATGAGGAGAGGGATTTGGTGGCTTGTGGCGTTGTCTCAGGATCTCAGCCCTGAGGGATAGTTAGAATAGAGACAAGGGTCATCCCAGTGACGTCGGGATGACTTGTGCAGCTTATTGCTAAAAGGAATTGAATGTTGAGTGCTGGCTGGAGGTTTAGGTGGCTGGCTTAGTACCTTGGGTTGGGGAATTGATATACATGCCTACCAGCTGGCATGTAGAGGGGACGCCTTTATTTCAAGGTATATATATCATGGAGCTCGAAGAACATGACCAAATCGAGAAGGGCAAGGTATTTCGGTCGTAGGAGCAGAGGCCAAGAGCGGAGTATGATTGATGGCCTTGATCACATGCAAAGAAATAGACACAATACGACCAAAAGAAGAAAAGAAGCGGTGACGGAGGAACAAGAGAGATTAATAATTGTCCGTATCTGAGCGGTGATGGAAATAAATTGGTGGATGTTCCGTTGTTGGCTTAGCCTCCGACATACATAATAAGCCAGAGCCCAGACTTGAGTTAGCTAAAGGTATGCTGTGTGTGAACCTACTGTATGCCTCTTTGTCGGTGGCAGAGTTGTTACGGAGTATTAGATCTTGGTCGACAATCCAAGCATTGGGAGCCTCTCATGATAACTCAGTAGGTAAGCAGGTAGGTAGTGTATCAAGGCCAAGCCATGACATGATGACTCGGACCTGGCAGGTTCACGGACAATCGGCACCATTAATACTGGAGCCAAGAGTCGAGACCGAATTGCCTATTCTGAAAGGAACCGAGTCGAGAGGACTTGGATGTCATGTAAGGAATTTAACACGAGGGCATATGTAACCTTAGGGCGAGGTAGACTACCCTGACCAGTAGAACTCTCTCGTATATACTTACGGAGCTCTGGAAAAGAGGCTAATAGAGAACACCTAGCGGATAAGGTAAAGTCAGATACGGTAGCCTTCTGCCAGGTTAAAAACAACAATATGTACGGAGTATGGAGTAAGTAAGAGGCATTTTCTTCTGTTGCGCTTCAACCAACAACACGAGACGAGATGCGACAATTCAAGGCAAGGTACCTTTTATTAGCTCAATCAAATTCGGGTTCATCCATTTATTAGTTGACTACCCTTGGGCGGAAAAAATACATGAGACTGGCTTACACCAAAATCCAGTCTCGTGTTTTATTCCCCCCCACCAGGACTGCTAATCTAGGTCGAGAGACGGTATGGTCGAATACGTGTCCCCCAGTCACGGAATCGGCACGGCAAAAAAGGCGCCCCAACGCTTATTCATGGATGGCTCTAGTGGCCTAGTCCTGGAGTCTAGAGGCCAAGGGACAGGACAGGCCTGAGTTATTGGGGGGTCCTAGTGGAGGTACTTTAGGTAGGTACTAAGGCAGACATTGTGAATGGAAGGATGGAAAGCTGCCCTGAGCAGAAGAAACACAAGGAGTGAGCTTATTCTCGACTGTATAGCATTAAAACAAGGGCCATTTCCCTTTTTCGGCCTTTTCTGTTTTGTTTCCTCTCTCGTTCTTCTTACTCCTGAGTTCTACCTGTTTCGCGGGACATAAGACGAGATTAGAAGACGAAGCAGAGGAGAGAGAGAAGAAAAAAAGCAAGCAAGCCAAACAGGGGAAGTCCAGTTGTTTTCTCCATGGATGATACTTGATTTAATATCACGATCACTCCTGAGTTCTCGTACCTCATCTTGTTTAATTCAGCGTCTCGTCTCGTCTCGTCTCGTCTCTTTTATTACCGAGCTGAGTTTAATTTGAATCGCTTCTCCTCCTATTACCTCTCTTTATATTCTGCCTCACGTGCCTCTGCGGTCAACAATCAACAAACTCACTTGTGTCTCTCCTCCCACCATCAGCCAATATATACTTTCATCATAGTACTCCACCGACCGATCACAGACGGATCCTCTTGCGTTCCTTGTCCCACATTCACGGCTCAGACGGCGCTGACACTTGATACCGGGGCTTGGCCGTGGCTTGGCCTGGGCAGTCGTCAGAAACCGAATCTGGAGTACGAGCTGAGCAATCATTGAAGAGCAATAGGACGAAAAGAAAAGGAGAGAGGGAAGAGAATACAGCGGGAATGGTCACGGCGAATATCGAATGAAGCAGCCAATCTAAGCCACGAGCCGACACGACGACTTATAACACCCGTTGAAAAAAAGGGGGTCGAGAACGGGTTTCATTCATGCTACCAACCATTTTTCGAGAGCTGAGCTGAGCTGAATCTGTGGAAGCGAGCAAGCTGTACATATCTGAAACGATAAACGGCGATCATAAGCTCCAACCCTTGAAGTCATTTCGAGCTGAAACGGGCGACGACGCTCTTGAAAATTCTTACAACATCAACAGATTAACTTGAGAGAGAGGGATACTCAAGACAACAAAGTTGAAATAGGGCAAATCTGTTCCTGGTTTTCACTACGTCACTTTTGGGTTGTTCGTTCCCCGCCCTATCAAGCATCCCCACCAATCCCACGACGGTCTGCAACCCCCCAAAGCTACAAGCGGAATCAACCTTGGCCCTCGCCCCTGGGACACCTATTACAGGACACTTTGTGGGCATTATCGCTAGGAAATCCGCCTGAGCTGAGCGCCTAAGACGCCTGGACACACCACACCGCACCACACCCTTCCAGCCCAAGTGCTTGAGGTACCTACCTACTACAGCTCCAGCACCCCCGCTGTCGATCGATCTATCACCCTCCATAACTTTTGAGACTGCAGTGCTGTGTGTGACAGGGAGCTCCAGCTGTTGGAGCCCCAGTCCGGCCGAGCCAAGGCCCTTTCTTCGTCATGGTGCGCATCATCCCAACACGGCTCAAATCGACCTCTCGATCCTCCTCTTCTTCCTCCACAACCATACACTCCGTCAGCAACACCAACGGAAGAACCAAAAACAACCGCAGCAACAGTCCTCCCATGCGCTCGAAAAATGATAGCACGAGCCCTTCGAGGGACGCTGGAAATGGTCTGGCCCTTAGAGTTTATATCATAAAGGTACTATACATATCGATTGTCCCTTGGTACTTATGCACTTCACGCCCTCTTATACGAGCTGGCTGCAGGTCTCTCCAGCCATCATCGCGCTCTGCCCGGTCTAATCGGCGCAGCAGCAAGGCAGCGAGAGAACAATCGAGTGTGAATTCATTCCACCTGACTTCTGCTAACATCTAGCCAGGGAAAAGACCTTGCAGCCAAGGATCGAAGCGGCACATCCGATCCCGTAAGTTCCTCTCTCGCTCGACACCGTGTCCCCAATGCTGACAGTTGACCTTCAGTACCTCGTTCTCTCTAGCGGCGACTCTCGAATCGTAACCAACGATGTTCCCAAGACTCTTAACCCGGAGTGGAACGTCACCGAAGAGATTCCCCTCACATCTGTCCAGAACTTGGTCCTGGATGTCATCTGCTGGGACAAGGACCGCTTTGGAAAAGATTACATGGGCGAGTTCGATCTCGCTCTCGAAGAGATCTTCAACAACGACAAGGTGGAACAGGAACCTACCTGGTACCGTCTCAAGAGCAAGCGTCCCGGCAAGAAGACGAGTGTCGTCTCTGGTGAAGTCCAGTTACAGTTTTCATTATTTGACTTGACGAACCCGTCAGCGACACCGCAGCAAATTCTCGAAAAGTTCCAAGCCCTCGTAGGAACCGCCCCCGCTGGCTCTCGAAACGTAACACCCTCGATGACACCCAACCTGGCGCCCACAGGTTCCCAATCCGCCCCCAACCTTCAGGATAGCCCTAGTGACGATGACGATGACGATTTCGATGATGACGACTCCGATGAGGGTGATGAGGACGAAGGTGAACAAGATGCTACCAAACGCAAGCGCCGACTTCGAATTCGAGGACTGAAGAAGAGGAGACGCAACAACCCTTATGCCTTTGCCAGCAGTGGCTCTGACGTTGTTGGAATCATCTACCTTGAGGTCATCAAGATCACAGACCTGCCTCCCGAATCCAACCTTACACGCACAAGCTTCGATATGGACCCTTTCGTTGTGGCATCCCTCGGCAAGAAGACATACCGAACTCGACGCATTCGCCATGACCTCAACCCCGTCTATAACGAGAAGATGCTGTTTCATATCCAAAGCCACGAGCAGCAGTACTCTTTCGCTTTTACTGTCATCGACCACGATAAATACTCCGGCAACGATTTCATTGCTTCGTGCGATCTTCCCATCCACCAATTGATCGAGAGAGCCCCCAAAGCAAACCCAGAAACCGGACTCTATGATCTCCAAGTCCCTGCACAGGCCGAACCGCTTCCTTCGCGATCACGATTCAAGAAGCTCGCCATGTCACGATCCAACTCTTCCTCCAGTATCAGCAAGATGATTCGTCCTCCACTGAGCAAGCACGCCTCCAATACAAGCATGACATCAGCGACTCCCGCCCCTGCTCCTACCTCAGCACCCGATCCTAACAAGCTGGCACCCGCGGATGTCCTCGCCAACACTGGTTCTGATCCTGACTCGACCAACATGGACAGCGGAGATGCC